TTAAAATCTAAAAATATAGCAGCAGAATTATTGCACAGGAAAATAATTTCCTCAGAGTAACTACAGAGTGATTTTTGTTTTCTTAAGACTCTAAAAACCCTTTAGAATCGTGTTTGGACTAAAGCAATTACAGTTATGAAGCAAGGATAATTTAAACAAATTTCTATCATGTTAAAGATTTAAAAAACTTTAATAGCTTTATTGTGGAATTACATTTTACAGTAATTTGCACTGTTGAATAGTATGAAAAAAGGAAATTTGTATTCAAATATCTAATTACTATATGTAAGGCACTGTGTTTTTTTTCTGTTAGTGAGCTGAGGTAAAAGCAGTTATACTCAAGAAATAGTCTTAAAAATTGGAAACAATGGGGAATTGGTTATAATCATTGGGAATGAAGAAATTCTAATTGGCTGTATCGTTACTTCAGCTTTTAAAAATTATTTAGAGCAATGATTTTACGCTGTGTCTACTCCCCCCCCCCCTCCCCCCAGTATTAGAGCAGTTCTGTTTTGACTTTTTCATTGGGATTCTTCATAAGATTTAATTGGAACAGAGAGTTCCACTGATAATGAAGTTTGAAAACCACAATTAAGGAAACATCTTAGAAGATAGTAAATGCATAGAAAAGAAAAAAAGAATGTATTAAAATTCCTGAGTACGAAGAGGACAAAATATAGGTATCTTGTACAGACATGCTTTTTATGAAAGTTAAAGACCTATCAATGAACAGTAGACTGTTTAAAGTAACATTTACTAGCATATTTCTGATGCTTTTGTTAATTTCTATTAATCATCATTTCTGTCTCCACTGAATGGAATTTTACAATTGTCTACAGTTTGAGTGTCCTTTATGGTCCTAACTTGACCATACTGCTTACTTGTTAAGCAGTGATAGAACATTCTATACTGCACCTCATTTCTTTATCTGCTAGTTAGAAGTGCCATTAGGTTAACAGTTAGAGAAATGGAAGAGGTGTGGATGTAGTGAGAGGAAGCAACATGGTGGATAGTTTCTAAGAGGTTCTAATGGTCAATGTTAATTCTTGGCCGTGTTCTGTGATAGTAGAAAGATTGAGACAGTATTTATGGAGACGGGAGTTTTTTGTTTTGCATTTCAGCTCTGAAAGCAGAACTCTAGTAAATGGCTTTGACCTAAGGAAGGGTGTTCCATGACACAGCAGTCCTATCCCAGGCTCCTGGTCTATTTCAACTACTGGAATGTTTCAACCAGGATTTGGCCTCTCTGTTGCTATGAGAGCGGAGAAGTCATGGGATTAAAGTTTGGAAGGAGTTTGGAAACTGTAGGAAGATGTAGGTATGTTTCTTAATACCTAAAAATCAATCATAAAGACATGGGGGGAGAATCTATTTGAAAATATCCGTCACAGGAAACATGGATAAATCTATTCTAACCAAGGCCCACCTGTGCTCAGTTGAGGCAGAGGCATACTAGTACCTAAAGGAACTATTTTCATTTGGGACTTCATGAGGGAATCTTCCACTAGAGTTGAGGCAAGACCTGCCTGAATAAAAAGTTAAAGCAAAGTGATTATAATATCTATCCAATATACACTCAGAGGAAAGTGAAGAGAGGTCTATATGCCATATTCACATTTTTTTCTGTATTTCTAGAGTTCAGATGCTAGCATTCCAGCCCATAAACCAATGGTGCCTTGTAGAACTGTGACGCTGGCCAGCTGACCTGGCTCCCTCAGGTCTATAAAGAACCAGTGTGAAGTGTGCATGTCTAATACATCAGTGACTCAGATCATAGTTGAAACAAAGATTCTTTTTTTCTGCACTCAGTTGAATATGGTTTTTCATCATTTCTTATGGATATAATTTAGAAAAGGAAATTTCTTTTTTTTTTAATATATATTTTATTGACTTTATCAATCAGCTGCCTCCTGCACACCCCCTACTGGGTATGTGATATACCCAGTAGGGGGTGTGCAGGTACATGCCCTTGACCGGAACCAAGGTACATGCCCTTGACCGGAATCGAACCTGGGACCCTTGAGTCCGCAGGCCGACGCTCTATCCACTGAGCCAAACCGGTTAGGGCTAGAAAAGGAAATTTCAAAGTCATAACTTCTTTTTGCTGTTTAGCCTTTGTTAAAAAAACACACCACTCTTCCATATATAAGTGCAATCAACTGAACTGTTGTCAATTTTCTGTCTATTACTTCAGAAATCATTTTAAAAAGAAGCAGTATATTAACTCTGGGTCTCTGAAAAAATGATTATTTTTAAAGCATAAAACTTTATATTTTTAAATGAACAAATAAAATTTATTATCTAATAGACTCAGGTTAATTTCTACTCGATTGTTCCTATTTTTTTACATTTTTCAAGTTTCCAAATTTTCTTTTGTGTGTCTAGTAGTTCATCTTTCATTACTATAATAGATATTTTGCTTCTTTGACTTAGAACAATGACTTGTGGGCACATGACACCGTACGTAATACCCAAACATCACCGTTTAATTATCACAGAACAAATCTCATTACATTATATATGAACATAAACCACTTTTTGATTGACATCAGAATTCTAGAAGCAACTGGTGGAATCAGAAATCGTCTCTGGACTTGAGTTTTTTTCCCCCTGAGGGATAGTTTGTAAGGGTTGGCAGAGAAGTTCGGGGGGGGGGGGTTGATCATATCATTAAAGGTGATAATGACATTGTTTCTATTTTTTAAATCAATAAAATAATTTAACTGTGTTTCATTTGAAAGCCTCCAAGTTTACGGGCATCTGGTAAGGCTCAGATGCCTGTGGCCCGCCGTCCCCCAGCGAAGGGCCCCACTGAACAGTGCTAGCTGCTGAGGTGACTTTGACCCTTTCAGTTTTTAACTGTTTGATTAATATTTTTATCTGCTAAAGACAGGCAGTATAATGAGCACGACATTAAGAAATAACCAACAAATACAGCACGTGAAAGTGATAGTTGAGCAACATGAATTTCACCAGGACCGAATTGGCATATTTTTTATGCAGCATATCCAGGTGTTGAGCACTTCAAGAACTAATGTTAACACGAAAATGTAATTCTTATACCTGATTAGGGTTATCATTTGATGGGAATTAAGCTTATATGCATGCAGCTTATTTCAAATAGCAACATGAAAATGAATACTGAGTATTCATTTTGAGATTTGTTGTAAAGTCATAATGGTTTTATTTTTCAAAATTGTATCTTGAACACTGTGTCTCACTGTTGATATGTGTCTTTATATATGTATTTTGAATATTATTGATTACAAATACTTTAATCATAATCCATGAAATACAAAAAGATTATTTTAAAATTTTTCTAAAGGTGTCCATGAAATTATCAAATACTGAGCCTCAGAGTCACATACCTGTGGATAATATATTTGCAAAAAAGATGTTGCCAATTCTAGACAGAGCTAAATTAAGATATCCACGTTAAACAGTGTCTCCAGATGACGTTAATCTAGGCCTTATTCCTGTTTGTTAACAGTAGGTGTCAGGTTGTGGCCTAAATTTGCTTCAGCGACACTGAGACTGGGCTCTTGAAACTCGTTTCTAATAAACTGCCCTGTCACAACGAGGGCCTGGCTTCTCTACCTGTTTTTAAAAATACATACATAAACTGAGGAGGAGCCTGAGCTCATAGCCAGCACCCTATAATCTGTAAAGGTAAGTGATTTAGTCTTCAGTGACTTCCCTGCCAGTACTGCCTGCAGTATCTATTTCAGCTTGTAAAAAGCCAGAGATCGGTTTCTGTCCTGGGAAATGACCGCCCACTTTCCTTCATTGGGGCTCAGAAATTAAATTTGCCGTTGGCTGAGAGCACTCACCGGAATGAAAGAATGCTTTGGACTTGGGAAGCAGCAGGCCGAGTAACATCATGGCAGGGTAGAGTTGGCAAGAGGTTAGGCGCAGCGATCTCGATCGTCCTTTCCCCGAGCCCACGCTGGGCCGCAGCCTCCTCAGCACGAAGCTTAGGCAGCTGCTCCTCGTTGATCAGATGACACGAGATGTAAACCTATTCACCATCCCTGTTATCAAATAAAGAAGAGCACGCTGACTTTCAAACAACTGCATTTTGCTTTTTCTCTACTTATCAAAAAAGAAGGGGCTGTGCCAGTGTCCGTGTCGAGGGTCTTGGTATGCCCCTTCACTCCTCGCTGTGACTGCTTTTGCATTTGTTTCTTATGGATGTTGAAGAATGTGCCTTATTCAAATCAGTCGTCTGGTTTTACCAAAAATAAAGTTCCTTGCTTTTCCTCAGTTGACTGATTCTTGATTATATCTCCAAAAATAGCAAGTTTATAGAGATGGGCATGTGGTCATCAATGGAAAGAAAGAAAATTGCCCTCATTTGGCAAATTCAAAAACCGAAGAGCCCTGCGTGGAGTGGTGACCTTGTGGCCAAGAGAAGGATGCAGGGCACCTGTGCCTGGAACCTGCCGTTCTCATTGGGCTTCTCCGGTGCCAGTCCTCCTAATGAGGCATTTGGCTTTGGGGTTGTTAGCTAGAGCCTGGGAAGGGCTCCCAACCTGGGGTGTGCTGATAGGAAATGCGTTCAGTTGCGTGTGGGGAGTGGGAGAATCCAGACAGTGCTGGCAGTTTCTGCCTTAGACTGTTGCCGAAGGAGAATCAGAGCAGAAGCCCTGCAATGCCCATCTCGGCCCCTTACCCCCTTCTGGCTTTCTACCCCCACTATTCTATCCTCAACTAAAAGCAACAACCTACTGACATAGTTCACAGAAGAGCTTTCTACCAAATCTGAATTCGACTTTGAAAACCTGATTTATTTTTTGCAGTTTAGAATAATAGGCCTGTATGCTTGGAGGAAGAATTCAGGGGATGCTGTTAGCAGGGTCAGGCCTCTGCTTTGATTTTAGGATGTTGAGTTAGACCCAGAACACACATCCTCTCAGGAGAGTAGTCCTTCGTTAAGAATAAGGATGCAATTCCCACTGGCTAGGAAACCTCTGGCCCAAGGGAAAACCCAGCCCAGGAAGGTGCATGGGTATCAGGATGGGGTGGAGTGCAGCGGGGACTGGCATGTACCTGCAGGAGAGCTCCATGTTCCTCCAGGTGGTCAGGTGTCTGTGGCCAGGGCCGGGGAGCCTCGTCCTCTTCTGTGGAGACCTGGAGGGAAGGCGATCTCAGGTGCCCAGTGTGAGGCAGCCACCAAGCCTCTGGGCACTAGCTCCTGTGAAGACCCAACTGTCCTGCCCACTGCATCGCCACCCCGCAACTCCTGTGTTTCAGGCTCTTTGCTGGTGGTGTGTGTGTGTGTGTGTGTGTGTGTGTAGAACAGGGGTGAGGGCTGGGGTGGTTGATGACAGGAAACACAGGAAGGGTGGGAGCCAAGTGCTGCCCTTGGGGCCTGGGCAAATCCTCCCCCAGGGACCAGCCACCCTTGGAAGAGGACCCCCTGGGGAAGTAGCTCACCTGTGATGCTGGGGTCTTCTGGAGAGAGGGGTGCTGGACTGCGCAGCCAGGCTGCCCGCTGCCCCCCCAGCTGCAGTCGGGGCTCTGGGTGGTCCGAGGTGGGGAGAGCATCTCGCTTTCTCTCTCACACACACACTCCTGGACACACATGCAGACCCACGTCCCCCCCTCCCACCCCCTGAATCTCCCTCTCGCACACAAAGCTGTTTCCTGGTTCTCTGGCCCTCACCCCCACTGCTCCTCCCTCTGCTGGGGTCAGAGCTGAGGGTCTGGTTTTCAGTCTCTTCCCATCCTGAGGAGCCCCATCCTTGGCAGGCAGGGCTGCATCTACCCCAGGGAGCAGCAGCTAGCGACACTGCAAGTCCCCTTTCCCACAGCAACATGAGCTGGGACTGAGGCAATGGGGTGGGACGGCAGGACACATGGTGTGTGTGTGTGGGGGGGGGGGGGTAGGGAGGAAGCGGGTGGCCAGACATGTTAGCGTGGAAGCAGGAGGGGAAAGGAAGCTGGTGGTCACCTTACATCCGTGCCCAGCTCCCCCGGTGAAGAACGGAGGACCCTGTGGGATTTCTGTTTCAAACTCCTCATTTATTGACATTCACTTGGTTGTGACTCCAAGTTATCAAAGACGCAGGAGAAGAACCCGCAGCAGGAGCAGTGGTGGAGAGAGGATGGCAGGAGGACAGGGTGCTCCCAGCCTCTCCTCTTCCTGTTTAGGGTGCAGCTTGGAAAGTGTCCAGATAGTGTCCCATCACAAAAAGTCAGTGCAGTGGAGTGGGGTGAGCCTCCTCCTGCCAGGCGAGGCCTGGCGGCTACAGGGAGGCGGGCGGGCAATCTTGAGCCTGTGCCTGAGCAGCGTGGGGCTGCGTGTGGGAGAGCGGGCGCCCACCATCTCTCCAATGCCCCCAACACGTGTTCATTTGTGGGTTGACAGGATTTAGGCTGGGAAAGCTAAGGAGACAGGACTGCACACGATGGTTCTCACTTGGGGACCCTAATAGATCAGGGGTAAGAGGCGGGTGACCATTGACCAGGTTGTTTTGATTTCTGTGAAGGCAAGAGGTAAGATGACACTGGTTTGTTTTGGTGGGGGGTGGGGGGGTTGGAGGGACAGCCCTTGCTCAGGGTGATTGGCAATGGAATTCCAGGGCAGCAAGGCACTGGGCTGGTCCTCAGGATGCGGCAGGGCTGCCAGGCCCAGCTACTCATGTCAAGGGGGTGCACTTGACGTGGTCAGGGCTGGCGGAGGCATGGGGGATGTTAAAGCTGCTGTCCTAAGCTGGTCCCTCTGGTCTCATCACACCCCCTAGGGCTGCCTCCTGGTATAAGAGAAATGATGCCATCTGAGGTCTCTCATGGGAGAGTCAGACGTGTGCTTTTCACCTACAGTTCGAAATGCTTTGCCTGCTCACCCCATGTCTGACTGTGGTCTTTCACCCCTTAGCACGTGTCCCTGCTCACAGGATCAGGCAGTTGGCAAGTGTGTCCAGCTCCTGTGAGGACTGGGGCGAGAGAGTGTGGCTGGCTGGCAGACCTTGGCAGGCAGTCCTCCAAGGGCCCTTGGAGTCCATCTGGGCAAGTCTCAGTCCCTGGAGGAAATGGGGTCTCAGAGAAGGTAAGTGACTGGTTCTGGAGCTAATGAGTGACCACAGGGTGGCTCGGCCGAGGTCCTCTGGTTCTCAACCCAGTGAGCCTTGCAGATGGAGATGCAGGGTGACCCGGGCCTGAACGGTGATGCAAAGGTGTGGTGAATTCTCCCCCCTCCCCTCCCCTGGCTGCACCCCGTCCTTTCTCAAACACAGAATCACTATTTCAGCGCAGAGGGGCCAGCTCCTTTCCTGCCCCACCCTCTGCAGCATTCAGTGACTCCGGAGTGGGTGGGAGTTGGTTATGCCCTTCAGAGGGGGTGCAGCCACTCCTTACTGCAGAGGCAACTGGAAAACTCATCGGATGCATTCACTCCAACAGAATGAGGCCAAGGCTGAGTTAGAAGTGGGAAGTGGGAGTTGGACTCAGGCTAGAGTGAGAGCCATGAGAAGGCCCTCTGGGGTCGGGCAGCGGAGGGAGGGCAGCAAGCAGAACCCAGCTGCTAAGTCAGATCCCTCTGGTCCTCAGGCGCTGGCCCTGGTGGAACCAGCGGTCTGGCTCTACTGTGTCGTGGCTGCATGAGGGGCTTACAGGGCAGCAGTGTCCCCGGGGAGGCGTCTCGGCCTCCTCCGGTAGCAGCCACCTCACTGCTGTGGGGCCTGCTCACCTTGAGCACCCTCTGCTCATGCTGCCTGGGGGTCAGGGTTTCCCTTCTAGTTGCTACATCGAGACCCTTCCACTCCGAGGCTCCTGGAGGCAGCAAAGCCTGGTGCTGGTGGTGACAGGTGTGTGTGCACACACCAGAGAAGGCACACGCCCCGCGGGACTGTACCCACACACACCGCTCGCTGTGGGGGACCACGGCCCCGGAGACTGTCGGCAGGACCTCACTGGCTAAGCTACTCGAACTCTAGTGACAACTCTTGAGAAGGTTCTCAGTGAGGCAGCTGGTTCCCGAAGCAAAGCAAGGATGTGGGGGGAGGCAAGGTTAGACAGTCGCTTTTAGGTGCCTTCCTCACAGCAACCTGATGCCTTCAAAGCCAACTCAACGTGTCCACAAGGAAGGGTGCAGTCACAGCTGTGCTGTGGGCAGGAATCAACAGCTATATTTGAGCAGTTACAGGCTTTGCAGTCTCTGACAACCGAAAAGACAAAACTAGATTGTGAACTGGCTTTTGGATTTGTTTTAGCAAGCAAGTCCTGAAGCGGTCCCTTTAACACCATCCCCTTCCTTCTCAAATTCTGCGGGTTTACTGTGCCCTGGCCCCCTGCCCTGTGGCCCCCTTATCCTTTCACCCCCCAAGGATGCTGGAGGCCTCCAGACCTTCGCACAGCTTTCCTTCCTCTCACAAGACTGGCAAAGCCGGAGGTGGGGGTGGGGAAGGAGAGGGCCTGGGGGTGCTGGAGTTGGCCCCAGGAACGAGGAACGTCCCAACAGAGAACCCGGCACAGCTGCCATCCAAGCACCCCATGGCTTCAATCCTGGGGAGCCTCCCACTGCGGGGCAAGAAAAGCCAAGGAAACAGAGACAGTCCTGTGGGGTGTTGGGAGGCAGCCGCGGGCCCAGTGCCCCTGACGGAGCGGCGTGTGGGTGTGTGTGGGGGTTCGGGGTGAGAGGGGTTACACGTCTGTACTAATAGCCCTTGGATTAGTGAAAGCCTCGCGGGCAGAGCCTGGCCACGTCACCGGGTAACCCTGGGGTGCTGCCAGCTGGAGGGACGGGAGGCCCCCCTCCTTGTAGTATGTGGGCGCGAAGGAGAACCTCTCGCTTCCGCCCCCATTGGGCACCATGTCGGCTGTCCGTATGTAAAAGGGGGAGCTGTATGGGGAGCAGGTGGCGCAGTGGCCGACTGCCACCCCACATGGCTGGCCGCAAGGCTCACTGGTGATGGGTGCCAGGCTGCCTCTGCCGTCCAGGGCTTGGGCGCTGCAGGCATTGCAGGGGGGGCCTCTGGAGGGGGTGGGCAGGTCGTGCTCCTCCTCCTCCTCCTCTGCATCCTCCTCTCCGCTCTTCTTGCAGCAGTAATACTGAGGGGAGAGGCGGAGGGCCCCCTCTGAGTGGCACAGGCAACCACGCTCCTGCTCCACTGTTGATCAACTCAACCCCAGAGACCACATTCCATAGGTATAGATTCCAGCCTTGCAAAACGTTCCCTTTTCCCTCCCCTGCTCCTAGTGTATTAACTCCAGGCCGTGGCTGAGGAGGCAGGGCGGCAGAGGGAGGGATATACAGTCATACTGAGGACAGGGCTGGGGGCCGCTGGGAGCAGCTGTCAGAGTACCCCCGATGGCGCCCTTCCCACCACTCCGGACGTCTCAGCCCCAGGGAGACATAGCACAGTGAGCTCTCTGGGTGCTCCCTTCTGACTGCCCTCCAACTCCCAGACCCCTTGACTTGTATTTCCCACAGCCCACAGCTCTGGGACTTGTCACCCTGAAGTGGGCTCCCCGGTTGGCCCCCATAATGGGAAGTGGTTTGCTGGTGGCTCCTGGCCACGGCCCGGAACTGACCTGGAGCCGACAGTAGCAAAGGACTGCGATGATGGAGAGGAGGATGACCGCAGCTAGGATTCCGCCAGTGATCACAACTGTTCCCGCTGTCATCCGCCCGACGCCCCATCCAACTCTGCAGAGAGATGCGTGGAGGTGAGGGCAGCCGCCATGAGCAGGGAGCCCTCCTGGAACTTCCTGCACAGCTGGAGCCAGGGAGGCCCCTCCACACACACACCCACTACCCCCCTCCCCTGGGCCCAGGGACACCTGGGCTTCCTGACGACAGGGGTGACAGGGGCGACAGCCTTGCACTGGCTAGGGAGGATAGAGAGGAGGCCGAAAGCTAACTGAGGCATAATTCTGCTTCCTGTTTCTACCCAGTTTCAACCTCCTTTAATTCTCTTTTCCATCTCCTGTCTCCTGTCCCCACACCCTCCTAAACTATACCCCTTCCCCCGACCATGTGGCTCCAAGACACAAAGGAAAATAGCTTCTGTTTGCAATGCTCTAAGCCAGTCATACTGAGTTTACTAATGTTGTGGCCCCACCCCATAACAAAGAAACAGAATTTCCGGAGGATGAGGCCCAGAAATCAGGATTTTAACAAGATTCCCAGGTGATTCTAATGTGCAGCCAAGGTTGAGAACCACTGTTCTAAGCACTCCCCTGGTTATCTCAGTTAATCCTCCACATAATCTTTGGGCTAGTTCTTTTTTTGTTTTTTGTTTTGTTCCATTGATTTTTAGGGAGAGTGGAAGAGAGAAGGAAAGACAGAGAGGAACTTCAGTGTGAGAGAAACACATTGTTTGGCTGCCCCCTGCATGCCCCGACCAGGGCCCAGCCCAGGGAGGAGCCACAACTAAGGTACGTGTCCTTGATCAGAATGGAACCCTTTGGTCCATGGGCCATGCTCTATCTACTGAGCCAAACCGGCTAGGGCTGGGCTGGTTCTTAATGATCTCTATTTCACAGGTGATGAACAAGGCTTTGATTGATTTAGCTGAGATCCCACCCAGCCTGGTTCACCCCAATGGCTATTTTCTCAACCACTGCCCTCCGGAGTCCAGACACCAGTGGTCTCTGAGCCCTTGATCCAGGTGGAGAAGACAGGGTCTGAATCTCTAAAATTCTCCCCAATTCTGCCCTGGCTCAAACCCACACTCCTTTTGGGGGGGGGGATCTCTCCTCTCTTTCCAACTCTGTGGAAAACAAGGGCCAGGTGAGCCTAGAGCAGTGGTTCTCAACCTTCTGGCCCTTTAAATACAGTTCCTCATGGTGTGACCCAACCATAAAATTATTTTTGTTGCTACTTTATACCTGTAATGTTGCTACTGTTATGAATTGTAATGTAAATATCTGATATGCAGGATGGTCTTAGGCGAACCCTGTGAAAGGGTCGTTCGACCGTCAAAGGGGTCGAGACCCACAGGTTGAGAACCGCTGGCCTAGAGGAAGCAGGTAGGTGGCCTTCTGGCTCCGGGAGGGTTGTGGCAAGGCTGGGGAGACGGTCCTGGCTAATATGGGTTCACGGGACAGAGGCCAGCTCCATGCGAGGCTGTCTGGCCTCAGGCCGACTCCCCTTGCAGGACACTGAATGGGATTTCCAAGTGTCCCGGCTTCATGGGGACCAAGGATGGTTGTGCCAACAGAGCAGGAGGGTGGAAGAATGACCGTGAGACTTACGTTCAGTCAGGGAACGGTGACCTGCAAGACAATAAAAAGGACAGAGATGTTGGAAGAAGAGTGTTACCCTGAAGAAGGCCCCACAGGTTAGCTTGGTCCCTGAGCTCCACCTCACCTCCTCCTCTCCCCTCACTGTGTGCGCTATCGTCAGGAAGCCTACAGGTCCCAAGCCTGGGTCTCCAGCTCTGTCTCCAACTGCTAGTGGACAGACATCTCGCTCGGATGTTCCACTGGCAGCTCGAACTCAGGCTAAGTCATCACCCGCTCTCCACATGGAACCCCCTCCGACCTCTTTCTGTCAGTGGTTCACAGAGCTGCTATGGAGGCCCTTGCAGGTTGTTCATTACTCAAAGGGCACGTGGGGGCGGGGCCACACATTGCTTCTGCTCAAGAAGCCACGCACCACCGTGCTGTGTTCACGTGGAGGAAGGGGCACCTTCTCTTCACCCAAAGACACCCTCTGCTCCTCACCATGTGCTCCTGGAGCACAGCATGTACCCCAGCCCTACTTCTAATTCACTCACCCTGCTCACAGTGAGGGCTGTGGACCACGGCATGGGCAGCACCTGGGAGCCAGTTAGAAACACAGCATCTCAGGCCCCACCCCAGGCCTAAGGAGGCAGAATCTGCACTGTAACAAGGTCCCAGATGGTTAATTTGCATAGTAGAGTTTGACAAGGCCTCACATGTTCCCCTAGTTGCCCAGATGTTCAAATCCTCAAATTCTTCTAAGGCTCCCCTAGTCTTCTGTTGTTCATCAGTGAAGACACTTTGCATGTCATGCCTGCCCTGGTGCAATGGCTTCCTGATCGATTTCACTAGTTTGTCTCTGAGCAGCCCCCACTTTAGCCTTTCATCATGCCCCGATGCCCCTCTCTTCCTCCAGAGCCTTCCCAGCAGGATGTTTACCTGGGCAGGAACTTTTAGACCAAACTTCAAAAGCTTTGTCCTTGCTCCACATCCCTGCATGCTCACCACCAATTCATGTTCCCCCTCCTCACCCCCAGGATGCCCCCTACACAAATCCTCTGCCCATCAGGCAGGCCTCATTCTTAAGAAGCTTAAAGCCTGGGCATAAAATGACACTTAATGTAGCTTCCAATACGGTGTTTATAGCCTAGTGATGAAAAGACACTGACCACACCTTATGATCTGGTGTAAGACACACAAAAGGAGACATACAGACCAAGGGCTGGGGGAACACAGAGGAGGGGCCACCAAGTACTCAGGGAAAGGTTACAAGGAAGGTGTGAGAGTGAGCAGAATCCTAAAAGCTGAGTAGGAGCTTGTCCAGTAGACGTAGTGGAGAGGGCAGGAGTGTGAAAGAACATGGGTGCTCCAGGACCTGTAAGGAACCTGGAAGGGCCTGGACAGGGAGGGGGAGGCATGAAGCTGGACAGGCTATAAGTCAGGCAAGGGATTTAACTCTCGGAGATGATGGGGCTCCCAAAGGGCGTTCGGGAGGGGAGTGCATGACCTCGCTTTCTCCATCTATTTAAATCCTGCCCATATTTGGAGGCTCTAGGAAGCCTCCCTGACTGCCCCACCGAGAGCTCCCTTTCTGTGCTCCTCACAATGCCTTTCCATGTGCCACTCTTCAAACCCTGACTTGGTAGGACGCTTGTCAACATCTATGTGCGAATATCTTGACTCCTCTACTAAATTTTGAGTCCTTTGGGATTAGGGTTGTGTTTTATATTGCTTTGTATCTCCCTGCAGCATTATACACAGTGCCTGGCACCAGCAACTCATCTGGTATAGTATTTCTGGCAGTTATGACTCGGATCCACCACCAGGGGGCAGCAAGTTGCATCTCTCAGCTCACATCCTATATACAGATGTGGTTCAAGACCAGTATAACTTTGTCCAGGTACATGGTGGTCCATGCTTCAAGGGTTCACTGGACATTTGATGTGGGATGAAGCTCAGCCTAGGGAGGATTTATGTACCTTCACATGTATGTACCACCGAGGGCCGCTTAAGAGACACAGGCCTGTGGAGTGAACTGAAGTTGGGGGAGGCAGCAGAGACCTACTCTGCTGAAAGTTCTGGCCTAGTCCCCTGGGGTGTGCCCGGCCTGTTAGGAGACAGGGGATTGTGATGCCTTATGAGAACAGTGCCCTCTCTCCTGCCCTCCATGCCTGGCCTCCCTTCTTTCAGTACCTTGAAGGCTGTAGAGCAGAAATGATTGGGGGTGGGGGGGAGAAGATGGCAATGAAAGCAATCATGGGTGTGAAGGCCCATTCAAGACCCAATTTTACCACTTACCAGCCATCCGAGCCTGGAAACTGACCACCTTTCTCATTTGTAAAAGGGCAATTAACCAAAAACTCAGTTTACAGGTTGATTCTGAGCAAAAAGTAAGATTCATGTCTGCGAGGGCCCCTTGTAAACTAAAAGATCCTTAGTTGTCGGGGAAAGGAAGACCTAGACATTTTGTGGCTGCTTACGTCTGGCCTTACAATCATAAACCAAGAAGGCATGCAGTGAGCTAGCGAGGCCCCAGTCGGTTTCCCTGAGGGCCCAGAGCTAAAGGTACAAATTAGCATTTAAATTTCCACATCCAGTGGCTCTCTATTACTTCAGATGGGCTAATTTTCTCTTTGTAACTATATGCAAATGATAACAATAACTCAGTACATCTAAATAGCACTCTACAGTTTACAACATGCTTTCTTCTGTATCCTCTCCTATGATGGGCAGGCTCTAAGGCCCCAAATGAGCCCTGTGTCCTGTGTACTCCTCTGCCCATCAGGCTAGGTGTGACCTGTGACCTCTTCCACCCAACACAATACAGTAAGGTGATGGGATGTCACTTCTGTGAATAGATTATATAAGATTCTGGCTTCCCCTTCTTGCTGGCCAACTTTCTCCCTTGCTGGTTTTGACACAGTAAGTTGCCATGTTGAGGAGGCCCATGTAACAAGGAACTGAAGATTTTTCTGTCCTTCAGTCCACTGGACAGAAGGAATGGAGGCCCTCAAGCCAATGGCCCAAAAGGAACTGAATAATCACGTAAGTCAGAGTGGAAGCGGATCCTTCCCCACTTGAGCTTTCAAATGAAAATGCAACCCCAGTGGACACCTTGAATGCAGCCTCATGTCAGACCCTGAAGCAGTGGACCAGCGAGCCACGCCTGGAGTCCTGACCCACAGGAACTATGAGATCATCAATGTGTGTTGTTTTAAGCTGCTTAGTTTGTGGTAGTCTGTTATGTAGCAAAAGAGACCTAACACCTCTTTTGGACCGTACAAAAACTCCACACACGAGGGGAACCCAGGCCGTCACATGACTTGCCCGGTCATACGACAGCAAGAGTCTCAGTTAGGACCCAGGATCCCTGCTGTGGAGTTTCCTTCATACCAGCCTCCTCCTGAGGACAGGAGAAAGAGGTCCCCTGTTTCCTCCCAGGGCCTCACAGATCTGGACAGAATAAATTTAGTGGGGGCCAACTCAGGGGCTGAGGGCAGCCAAAAAGGACAAACCTGTTGCCAACTAAATACCCCGAGGCTGCCCTCTGTGACCAGGACTCACTGGAGCTCCCTCCCCACTAACACTCCGCACCTTGTTTTTTTGGGGAGAGGGTTGGCCTGAGCCTCACACTTACCTGAAACACCTGGGGCAGCGATGACTCCGTCAAACAGGCTGAGCCTGAGCAGACAGTGGTTGGGGCTGCGTCATGGCCAAGGGCATCAGTCCCTGTTGGAGAAGAGAGGGGGAGGTCAGTGAGAGCTAGAGGGGAGGCCGAGAGGATAGACAGGCTCCCTCTGGCACCAGGTTGTGACCCCAAGACTCTGGAGTGGATGTCCCCAAAAGGGCTTCCTTCTTGACCTCCGCAGCTGCCTTGGTTTCTGAGGTCCCGGCCTAAGAACCCGAGGCCACGTTCTGTCTCAGTGCCACGGTCCAGAACCCTCTGCCCAGAGCAGCAGCAGGGCGCTGGGCAGGAGTCCCTGCCTGTTCTTGGAAGTGAGGCTCCGGGGTGAAGAGTCCTGCCTCATGCTTCCCTGGGGAATTCTGACCTGTCTGCTGGGGCGGTGTCCCTGTTGCCTGCACGGATGATACCTTTCTCAATGGCCCTGCATTCCTCTTTCCCATTCTCTCCTCCCTTCTCCTCTGGGCCTGTCCACATTCCCGTAAGCTGCACACTCCTTTCCATTTCTTTGATATCCCGGCACCCCTCAGGCCAGCATAGCCACTGGACCGTTGGATGAACAAGTCCGACAACATGACAAGATCATTATGTGACAACAAGATCATCATTCTGGCATGCTCACGGAGGATGGAGGAGGCAGGATCCAACGGAAACATTTAGAAACCCAGTGTAGACTAATTACTGGGGGTTCCTTCAAACCCAAAATTTTTAAATACCCTCTCCACATTATTTAGAGGAGTATGAGCCTTACACTGGGAATGGGGTGTGGGAGAAGAAGGACACTCTCTGGTGGTGATGCCCCATCCTGCTCACCGACCTAAGCAGGGCAGGTCCCACTGGGTGTGTGTTTGATTGGGGAAGGAACCCAACCATTAACAGGATTGGCAAAGCGGCCTTCTTTGGGGACAGAGCAAGTCAGGAGCAGGGCTCCAGGAGAAGACAGATGGTCACCTACAGAGTTGCCCCATCCCTGCCTTCACCTCCCTTCTAGATCTAGGCTTTAATACCGTCACCAGCCCCTGCCTTGGGTGTCCAAAAACTCAGGTTTTCTTTTCTCAAAGATGTTCTCACCCTCATTAAAATGGAAGCCATATGGAGCTGGATGCCAGAGCAGGACTCATCCTCCCTAAGTTTTGATTGAGTTGTGAGTTTGGGATGGGTCCCTCTTCCCGGGTTATGCGCAGAAGACTGGGCATGGGAAGGTCAGAACATTTGTTTCAGGATCCATGAACCCTTCACTCCACTTTGTAAAATACAAATGGGTCAAAAACTTGGTGAGGAAGATTTCCTTCGCAAGAACTGTGGCTGAGCCATGAATCCCTCAATCCAGGCCCCAAGGGAGGAGGGCTGTGGAGCTGGCCTGGGTGGCCATCTTGAGTCCTGTCCAACAGTGCCACTTGGAGGCCTGAGAAGACCCCAGCCGATGAGGCTGGAGGTGACCTCCAGAGGCCCAGGTGCTGGGCAAGCTGTAAGGGACACCTGGGGTAAGGGAACTGCAGAAGAGGGGGGCCAGCAGGGAACCTCAAAAGAGCCCACAAGAACATTCACAAAGGCAAGAGCCATCTTGAAGCATCTCCCTGGTCTCTTAGAATTTCCATTTCACTTCTGGCATTTAGACCGGCAGCTTGGGGGTGGGGTGTAAGAGGGAGTGTAGATAGCAGGTGGACATGGCCTGCCACCCCACCTGCTTCCAGACTGAAGCAGATCCAAAGTGGAGGAAAGAAGAAGCCTAACGCTGTCAAATTAGGAGTGGATTTTTAAAAAATATATATTTTGCCCTGACTGGTTTGGCTCAGTAGATAGAGCTTCGGCCTGCGGACTGAAGGGTCCCGGGTTTGATCCCGGTCAAGGGCATGTACCTTGGTTGCAGGCACATCCCCAGTAGGGGGTGTGCAGGAGGCAGCTGATCGATGCTTCTCTCTCATCGATGTTTCTA